AGGATGACTTTCCAGTGGACGGCAGTTGCCATCTTTCTGTACGGTGAAATAGGAGTGATTCTGGTGCTCTGCCTGCCGTTCATCTCGCCGCTGAGGTAGGACCCGAGTGTGCTGGACAACCCCAGCTTGGTCTGGTCACCCCTTTGGCTGTGTCTTACGGGTTTTGCTTTTATAAACCGAGTTCTGCTGCATCCTAAGGTAGCAGTGAGCTAAGCCGAAGGAATGCTGTTCGGCACTGGAGCGTCAGGAGTTTCAAGCGTCATAAGCCTCTCTTGAGCAGCTCCGTGTTGCCCTGCACAGGCTGTTGGCTCAGCAGAGGGATGAGCCCCAGGGCTTTGCTTTAGCCCTGCAGCCTTCTCTGGTGTTTGGAGGAGCGAGCCTACAGGAGGGCATCTGGCTTTCCCTTGCTCGGAGCTCAGTAAGAAATGAGAGGACGATGCAGCCTTTTCGGGAGTTGTTGTCCAAGTTTGCGAGGAGCTCATGGCGACATTTCGGTGTGCGAGGCATTGTGGGTGCTGAACAGATAAGAGACCTGCGATATTCAGAGCTGTTGCATGCAGCTTGTGAAAGGGCTGTGAGAAACTTGAGATTTTCTTTTAAATGTATTTCGGATTGATGCCTAAGATTGAGCGCTACTGAAATCAAGGCCTTTATAAATGTATAAAGGCTAACAAAATAATGCTTCTCAAGTGTAACGCAGACATTAAGAAAAAAAATCATTCTTGTAAAATAAATGCCCTTAGTAAGGGAAAGAAATAAAATATGTAAATTATTATTGTTTTTAAAGGCCTAGCTTAGAGCATTATCTTAAGATTGTTTCCTAAAAGTAGCTCTTCAGGTTTGGTAGTGTTATTTTTACTCCTTTGTGGAAAATACAGAAAACTAGCTTCTCTACAAAGACAAGAGAAACAGTTATGATTTCTGTTTAAGAACAGCTGATACTCTAGAAAGAAAAAAAAAAATCAAAAAACCTACAAAAAACCCCAACACCCTAAAAAGCCAAGTGAAATGAAATCTTAAAGCTTTTCAAAACACATTGCCACTGTCTCAGAGTTGTGTAAAAATGTCTTTGCTCTCTGCACCTTTAGATGTGTTTAGAATGAAGAATGCAGCTTTCATTGTAGTATCTTAGTAAACATAACCAAAACCTTGCTGTGCTGAGAGTCTAACTACTTAAACCTGTGTGATTCTTGAAATTGGTTGGATCATCCACAGCCAATGTAACAGTAATGAGTCAACTTCAGAAGTTGAAACTTGTTCTAAAATCTAATGTAACCTCAGGTTTTTACAAGCTGGCTTGTGAGTTCAACATTTCAACATAGATTTATTGACTTCTGGATTTTTCTGTTTTCTAATCAAAAGTGCAACTGTAAGAAGGGAGAATTATTATGGGACTTGTAATCAGATTATTAATGATGTGAGGAAACTAGCTGCAAGAATTTCTGCAGGCTGATGACACATGCGGAGTGCATGGGCAATTTTGAAATAGGTTTCACTTACGACATAAACAGGACTTGCATCCAGTCTTTGTGTCTAAGAGGCAAATTCATAACCTGCAGTGTTTGTTACCAAGACTTATTCAAATATTAAACATGCTCCTTTTAATTATATACAGCTAAATCTTTGTGGTTGGTTTGTAGCATTCAGCTATTTCTTTGAACAGGTGTTTCTGAAAGAGTGAAACAGCTTTATCCTTTGTGTGTGTGCCTTGTGCAATTTGATACAAAGCTGTTGCAGGAATCTTGTGGGATTAAAGATTTTGTTTATCTGCTGTGACAGTAGCAGACGGCAGCAGTCCTGCCTTACACGTCCTGATGGCCTGGTAGCTGGTTCTGTCAGAGCAGGAAAGCATGTGCGATTGAAGACACGTGAAATTACTGTTCTTTTTAAGTTTTGCTTTGTCAGTCTTCCAACAGACGGCTTGCCTCTTTTGTGCATGTACGTTTTTTAGATAATGAACTCCTCTTTGAATTCTTGGGGAATAAGTAAATTGACAAATATACAAATGCAAGTATGCAAAAATATGTACTGCCACATGCCCTACATCTATACTGGTGTCTAGTATTATAATTTGGAAGGATTATGTTTGTTGGTGACTTATGTCACCAAAAGGAATTCCTCAGTACTTCCTGAGGAAAAATCAGTGTGAAAATATAACAGAGGAAGACTTTGCAGTAGAGGGATCTTATTTTTAGCCTGAGTATAACTTGGCAGTATAATTTGTCTAAGGTCATACCTAAGAGAATCACTTATTAAGCTGAGATCGGTATGAAACTTAGAGAATTGCATGTTTAACAAGTTAGAAAGTTGGCTTCATTTGAGTTGTAGCTTGGTTTAATTAACACAAGGTTTTTTGGTTGGTACAGACTGTGGCTGTCTGCTATAAGGAATTCAGGCTATACTAAAAGTTTTAAATGAGGTTTTTTCACATACAATGCTAAAACAACTGGAAGGAGCCATGGGATATGATGATACATAATTTAAGTTAAGTTCATAGTAGGTTGGAAGCTGCTTTGGTGAAAGACAAATTTTAACAGTCTTGGGAGAATCTGAATACTTTTAATAAAACCTAGAAATTTTACCTGATGTAATCAGTTGGTGACTAGCATGCCTGTGTTACAGCCCTCTGGCATAAATAGCTATTACTTCATTTGTGCAGTAGCACCGATTCTAACCTGCAGCAAAGGATGAGCAGCTGCTCTGTTGTTGTCTCTTGTGGGTTTCAGTTCATCTGAGCGCATCACAGGTTCTTCATTTGTGCTGTGTGAATTCTTGCAGAGCCCTTCGTGTAGTAATGTTGAACAGGCAATTGACTGCTTAAACAAAAAAAACAAACCTGGCCTTCACCACTGTTGGGTCTCTGAAGTTGCTTCTGTAGCCAATAAATTTATGCTCTTGAAAGAGTTTTTAACTCTTTACAGAATATAAACAGTAGGCTTGTCCTTTTGTTGTCTTTTGCAAGTTAGAATGTGGTAACGGTCCTTGTACTTTATAATGATGCAGGCTCCTTGGTGTAAAAGATAAGCCTTCTGAAGAGGGCTGGTAGAGATCTTAGTTCTTGAAGGATTTTATCTGGCAACAAGCGGTATGAGTGGGTAGAAATAAAAGTGATAGAATGGGTCTTACAGTCTTTACCCTATCCCTGACTGTATTGTAGCCAGGACAGAACACAAAGTAAGGCTAGCCAAAGTAAAGCTAAAATAAAACACTCCGGAGAGTACTTGCCTTGTGCGAAGTTTTCAAGTTGAACCAACTGTCTTTGCCTGAATTGACAACAAACAAAAAGGAGATAAGCAAGTTGGATTGTTGGAAAAGTTACATATACCTAAACTATACTGCAATTAAAGCAGCTATTCAGAGACCCTACATAAGTCTCATCAATAAAAAGGCTGTCTTCTGTGAGGTTATCATGCTCTTCTTTTAGTGTTCAATTATCTTTGAATAACATAATATTGTTTTACAGATGGCAGAAAATTTTTATGATTCCTCTATGGAGCAAAGTGGCAGTGTTTTGGAACAAGATGTTCCTCACAATAATAGTTTTACTGATCGTCTTGTTTCTTGGTAAGTGTGAAATAATTTCTTAACAAATGGGGGCAAAACTGCTGTATAGAGCTCATGGCAATAGATTAATTGAAAGTATTCAAGCCTAATATAAGTCAGCTAATTTGTTTAGAAGTTCTACAATAGAATGGAAATTGAGAGGGCTTATACTGCATCTGTGTTGGGAATCCAGACGCAATAGTAATTCAGCAGTGAATGAGGAGGCAAAATTGAGCTCGATCTAAACCGCTGCTTGGTTTCGCTTTCTCACAGAAGTAAATGGACTTCAAATGTTTGATACAAGAGTTTAGCTAAGCTGCACAATCTGCAGTAGATGGCACTCTTTCTCTTGGTTGCTGTTGAAACAGAAGACGAAAGAATATATCCAAGCACTGAGCTATTTGAGTACTTTTGCTCAGCACAGATACAAAACAGCTGTTCTGTACATTTAGTATTGGTAGATCCTAAGGTCTGTCAAGTAGGATTAAAGCTTTAGTGAAACTGGACCCTGAATGATGACCATATGTCTGACTGATTTCATTTAATGTCTGTCCAGACTGCTTTGTGTGTTAAGCATCTCCTGTATGCTACTTTAAATACAAAGAAAAAATGTGTGGTTTTATTCTCTGCTGAGAGAAACATACAGATTCACTGCATATGTTACAAAGACTAGATTGCTATATTATATTCCTAATATTAAAAAGCACTACAAATGCAAATAAGCTTTTAAAATATTATTTTAAATTATCTTCAGTATTATCCTTAGAAATAGATCCTTCAGTAAATGTGTTCAGGTTGCGAACTGATGAGTTCCATTTACTCTCTTGAACTGCTAGTTTGCTTTTGAGTTGGTAATGGCCATTGATTTTGCAGAAAGATAGATTTGGGCTAAAGTAAAGCGGTGATGAGATGCTTGTCCCACAGCACAAGATGATGGGTTACTGCAAGATTAGAATCTTCCTGTAGCACAGAGATGTGGACTTTTGTTTGGTCTTTGTCTCTGTTGCATTGTTCAAAGTTTCACTTCAAATTGTTTTTTCTTTTTCTTCCTCTTCTAAATAGCTTATGAATATGAAAGAGACAGTCATAAGTGATGTTATTCACAGGTGCTTTTCTTTGGAGTTTATATAGTCTGCATAGATAAATACAGCAGCAATTTAATGACATGTGGCCAAAATATTCTGCCAGGATTCATGATGTGTCGTGAAATGTATATTTTTGCTGATATACAGGCAGAGATTGTAGATGCCATATTGGCTTGAAGTGTGCATGATGACCTTGAGCTCATATGTTCTAATAAGTGTTAAGTGGTTTAGGTTTTGGTTTTACGTTGTTGTAAGTCCTAATTAATTATTTTGTCCTTTGAAAAGTGTTGGCAGTGTATTGGCCCTTCTGCAGAACTGTCAGGAGTATATGATGGATGAAAGGGAGCTGAAAGATGGATGAAAGACAGATGAAAGCAAGCTGAGGTGTAGCTTAACCCCTCTGTTCTGTTTGTTTCACACTGCGTTACTACAGTCTTCCTGTTTTGATGGATATTACAGAAATACTTCTTTCCTCTTCATGATTTAAGGATAAAGTAGACACTTCTGTCACTACTAAAATACATGCTTATCTAACAAATTCCATACAAGACAAATACTTCAGAATGCATCCCTTCTTTTCCCCTTCTCTCTCTGTTTTCTCACTGTTTGTCCACTAGCTGGATCTTAAGTCGGTTGACAGCAGTGACATTTTGACACTCCGTAGTGTCTCTGGTAACATCTGCATTGCTTTTGGCCTGATCCCTGGTGGCTGGGTGCAAGTATTAGAAATGGCTGTTGAAGCATGTTTGGGCAATGATTTAGCATAGCTCTGGAAATGTATTGTATTGCTTCAGTGATTCAGCAAGACCCATTTTTAAAATGTATGGATAACATTAGTGAGGTCACTCTTCATCCTGTGCCTGTTTGCTGAGCAGAAAGTCCAAATACATTAGTACTGTGACTGGTTCATCATACATGCACACCCACAGATGTGAATAAAAACAACCTGTTTTTGTTTGCAGATGCTGTTAGAGAAGTCAGGAAGTATTCAGCTGTCCACATGACTGAAAAGGCCATAAATGTAAATACCAATGCATTTGATCATATTCAGATTTTGATCCCAAAGAAATCTCTATCTCTCAGGTTTTTCGTTATTTCTTTGGCTGTAAGTATAACTTTTTTTCTAATTTCTACATAGCACATTTCTTACAGGAACTGTCACACAAAGTAATGCAACTATAAAAAAAAATATTGGAAGGCTCCTATGAAGAGATTAAAGAACTAAGTGGGAGCAGATTGGCGAAGAGGCAAGTAAGATCAGGGAAAATAATATCTTACAAATGTTTGAAGGTTGAAAGGATATGTGAGCAACACATGGAAAGAAACGTTTTGAATACTTGAGAAAACATGTATTTTGCAGGAGAAATTTCTTCGGGGAATACTCATTTCCTTCCTTAAACTTATGCCCTGTGTTTTGGTTTTTTTGAACCCAAAAAGCTTAAAAAACCCTCAAAAACTAAAGTACTGTTAAAATAATTTTAATGTGTTGCAGGTCAGTTTTATTGCAGTCTGCTGTGTTAAGAGCAAGCTTGAGACTGACTTGAACTACTTCATCTAAAGCTTGAAGTTAGGAAGTTCAGGATGATGTTGCAGCTTCTGAGGAAGGTTTCAGATATTATTTCAGATCAAGCACTTTGTGGCAACTGGCCTGCTATGATATTATGATCGCTTTCAGGATGTTTAAATACAGCTAATAAAAGAGGGTAACAGAAAGGACAGTTCTGTACTGCCCAGCAGTATCAGCCAAGATTAACTGTGAATCTTCACAGTAGCCACAACCACCCGCAGGTCTTACAAGTTGGGCAAGGAGTGCATGGACTAATTGGACACAGATAGTGCAAATGACTGGAAGCAGATGTTCATCAGATGATTTCCTATTTGTACAGTTTTTATGGTAACACTGGGCAAAGAATGCTGGCCCTCCGCTGGATCCTTCAGTGAGCTGCTTGGCGTTGCCTATATATGCAAGAGGAAAGCAGAACAAGGAAATGCCTGAAATCACGGAGGCTTCTGACAGACTTCTTCCCCTTGGAGTGATGTTTGACCATTTTAGCTGATCATTGAGGAGCATTGTACATAAAGTAGCATCAAGGAAAAATTTGAGCAGGAAAACTTGGGGAAAAAAAGGTGGTAGCAGCTTTACACAATAGTGATAGGAATGCATCATGTTCTTTGCCTTTCTTCGGAAAGGTTAAGTAAACATGCACAGAAATGTTTGTGATCTCTGTTCCAAGAGACAAGTAACTGTATCGTGTCCTATGCAAGAGTTGGAAGCTGGTCCCTCAGGAGCCTTCTCCCACTCAGCTTTCAAGGAGGAAAAGTTATTGGTTGTCCCTAATAGATTTTATTGTGGATGAAACTTCTCCTCTTGAAGAGGTTTACTTAAGTTCTTTGTTGTGGCTGCTGGCCTTTTGCCAAGATTTAGAAGAAATAAATACTCTCACAGTAGTGGTTACATCAGAGACCTTTTCTTTAGTAGAGCTATTTTGCTTACCCGTTAACTAGGTATAATGTCTGTCAGAAAAGGGGGCAAAAATGTTCCTTGGGTTGCCTTGTCCTACGCTGCTACTGCTGTCACCCAACCAAGGTAAGGCCATGTCGTTGGTACTTGGGTGCCCTAGTTCATTCTTTGGGTCAGCTTTGGTTCATTTTAGCACAGCAGCCAATAGGAGAATTCTGGAAGAGTGAATTCTGGAAGAGTGAGGTGAAGATTCCTCAAATGGAGGAGGCTAGAAGCTTATAGCTTCTGGCAACACAACAAAAGCTCATCTTCATCTGTGGTTCAGCAATTGCAGAACACTGGCTACAGGTGAGGAAAATAACCTCCTATCGGTGGAGGTATTGGAGCCAGCTGCGTATTCACCTGCTGTCTGCACAGAGAAGAGGAGTGTCGTAGTTCCCAGAGACTGTCCCCTGGGCAGGACAGAGGGACCTGTCTGTTAATCTGACTTCACGCCTTGGGAGATGGGGAGAACCTGTAAAGGATTGTCTGGCCCTCTGTTACCCCATGCTGAACCAGAGAGGGATGAGAAGGGCTGAAAACAAAAGGAAAGCTAAAGAAGCAAGGGACCAAATGACAGAGGATATGGATAAGAATGAGACACTGCGATCTTGTTACCAACCTTACCTTAAATTGTTTCTTACAGGTGAGGTCTGCTGTTTGGCCTCCCAATTCTCTGAGCCTTCTAGGAGAGTTGGTGGAGAATGTAACATTACCCACAGGAGCAGCAGATGTAGCTAGGGAGTGCTCGGACGGGTTTTGGACATGGAGAAATCTGGGGCATCCTAGGATGGGGTGCGTCCTTGTGCGCAGAGGGAGTGGCCAGCGTCATGCAATGCCACTCTCTGTCATCTTTGAGAGACTATGGTGATCGGGGCAGGATCACGGTGACTGAAAAGAAGCAAACGTTGTACCTGTCTTTAAGAAGGACAAAAAGTGGCATGTAGGGAACTAGAGACTAATCAACCTCACCTGCCTGGAAAGCTTACAGAGCAAATCTTACTCAAAGCCATTTCTAGAGGCATGAAGGATACAGTGACTTGGAACAGCCAGCAGAGATTTACTGTGGGGAGATTGTGCCTGATCATCGCTGGTGCTTTCTGCAGCAAGATGACTGGCTGTGTGGGTAAAGGACGTAGCAGTGGATTTTGTGTGCTTTTAGCAGGACCTTTGACATAGTCTCTTATAGCCTGTGGAGAGATATGAGCTGGAGAAGTAGGGGGGGAAAGAAAAAGTGGATGGAAAATTCACTGGGCCTTTGGACTCAAAGGGTCATAGTAATGCAAGTTCCAGCTGCTGCCCCTCAGGAATTGGTACTGGGCAAAATACTGTTTCTTCATCATCATGGCTACTTTGCAAACCAAGGTATGGGAAGGGCTCTACCTACACTTGCTACAAGCGCGCTGATGGCTAAAAAGGCCGATGCGGGAATGTGGGTGTAACCTTCAAGCCTGCGCAGTAGATTTTTTAGGTGAGGCTCAGTGTGCGCAGAACTGGCCCCACCCTTTACTCCTAAGCTTCATCTGCCAGGGCCTAGTGAGCTTGCACGGTGACAGCAAAGTCGTCAGGACACAGGTTTAGTTAGAGTGTCCTTCTCTTAGATGGATGGCCTTACAGGGCTAAACAAGCTCCATCTGCCAGATTTGGAGTTAGAGTTGTCCTTCTCCTAGGATGGTTGCTGGGAGGCTAGTGAGCCCATCCTACCCGTGGACACACTTAGTCCGACCCTTCACTTGAGACCTGTCTGGCCTAGGAGACCCTATCGGAGGCGTATGCCACTGCCGGCATAGCTCGCAACCTCATAAGGGCACGCAAACTTCTCCCCCGTGACAAGGGGATGTCCATGGAGAAGAATACTGTTTAATGTCCTTATTAACAACATCGATGGATTGAATGTGCTTTCAGCAAGTTGCAGACGGTACCAAATCAGAGTGGCTGATATCTTGGAGGGCAGGGCTGCTATTCAGAGAGAGTTAGACAGGTTGGAGTAAAGTGCTGCCAAAAATCTGGTGAGGTTCAACAAAGGCAAATACAAAGTCTGACATTTTATGACATAACCATGTAAAGCTTCCAGGCTGGGGCCTGACTGACTGGCTGGCTGGGCAGAAAGCAGTTTTGCAAAAAAGGACCTGGGAGTCCGGGTAGACAGACAGTTGCATATTGAGCTGTAATAGCAAGAGTGTAATCAGCAGGTCAAGAGAAGCGGTTACTCCCCTCTGGCACGGGTGATACTGCAGCTGCAGGACCATGTCCAGTTTTGACTCCCCAAAATACTCGAGTGCTGTAACAGGGGACTGAAAAGGTTGGGGGCTGAAATGTGACCTATAAGGAGAGGATAAGGGAGCTTGGCTTCAGTCAGAAAAAAGAGACCATGAAGGAAGAATTTCTGTCTGCCACTGTTGCTTTCTGCAGCTCTGCGGTGGTAGAGTGTAGAGACGATGGAGCCAGCTTTTCTCAATGGATCCATACAGGAGTGGCAAGAGGCAACAGGCCAGGAGCCTGGGAAATTCTGATGTGCGATAAAAAGTACGTTATTTTGGTATCAAGAGCCATCAGGCACTTTAGCAAGGATCCTGAAAGATGGTGGAAGCTCCATCAGAAATTCAACTGGACAAGCCTTGGAGCAGTCTGCTCAATCTGTTCCTGCTGTGGGCAGGAGCTTGGACAGGATGACCCCTGGAAATCCCTTTCAACCTGCATGATTCTGTAATTCTGTTTTAGTAATGAAGTTTTACTGACTCCTGACTGCTGCATCTATGAATTAGTAAGCAGTAGTAAAACATACTAACCCTTGGGGAAGTATTGACATGGAGACCTTACCTTTTTTTTATTAAAACCAAAAAAATTAAGAAAATGAGACTTCAATGAAAAAGCTGGGGAGAGGGCTTACCTTGAAGGCCAAAAGGTCTATTAATACACTTTCAGTTATGAAAAAGCCAATTACTTGGATTTTCAAATTTCTTTTGAAGAGCAGCTGCATAGTTATATTACAGGAATTAATTTAATTCAGTGTTGCCTTTCCTTGATTCAGCAACACTTTGAAAGACTCTGGGATGAATAATGACTGTAGGGATGCAAAGAGGCAATCACTAAATCAAATCAAGGGAGGTATTTGCAAAGCTTGGGTTTGAGGTGCCATATAAGTGCTGACATTCATGTGTGTTCTGATTTTTACAGTGTCAACAGAGTACTTTGAAGATTAACATGCTCCCATTGCTAATTTTATTATTGTAAGGCCTTTTATTAAGTTGTAGAGTGTTTTTTGTTTTGGTTTGGGGTTTTTTTTTTGCATTGTACTCATTGCCGTAACGTGTTGCTTGGATCTTGTATTCGGAGATCTGATTCGGAGATCCAATTCAAAACATTAGTTTGTGAAACAAAATTTCAGCCTTTAAGCAAGCATATCTCTGACCCCTTAATGGCTGTGGGATTTTGGGAGGGAGTGGATTCTTCGTCAGGCAAAAATCAGATTTTTGGTGGCTGAATATCTTTTCAGTCTCTTGTTCTACTATTATTTGTTATTGATGAGCCTGCATGTTTCCCTTCACATGCATAAACAGTCCTCTTGTGATTTTGTTTTCACATCTATTAGAGAGAGAGAGAAAAAGGTTTGTTTTGTTTAGGGGTGAATTTATCTGAGTTTGTTTAGTTTTGTTTCTAATTTGTGCTGTGAATTATTGTGCTGTTAACTGTGTTTCTTCACCAGTGTATTGAGACGTACTGTTACCCTTCTTACTCAGTTGGCAAAAGGGATGACATCTCATGCAGCTCTGGAAGCACAAGTAAACGATGCTACTGAAGCAGCCAAAAAATACATGGCCGAGAATGAAAGGCTGCAGGAGGTATCTCTGAGCTTTTTTTAGTTATTTTCTTATACAGCAAGTAGGTAATACAGAGTTCTCTGAGAATGGTTTGCTATTAAGTAAGTCATTCATTTTTTTCCACTGGTAGAAAAAGAGAGAAAAATGTTCTTAAAATATGTAATTCAGAATACTGAATATAAATTTCAATAGTGTTTTATTAACAAAGGAAACTAAAATAATCCAAATAAATGTTCTGGTTTTCCAGTACAAATTTCATCATAGTAGTAATATATTCTTAAAATATCTCTCTGAACTTAATCATAGCAAAGCAGAAGGAGACGCTAATTTTGCTCTTTTTGTCCTAAATAGTTGCTTCTTTAGGTCAGGGCTATAGCAGTCCAGTATAGAAAAGTATAGCTGTTGTCATGCTGTCTGTTTCTTCTAAGTAGGATTTGCTCCAGTCCTAAAAATACCTTTTCTAAATTGGAAAATTTTTTTGGTATTTATTAGGGTTTGTATTCTTTCATCTATTTTTATGGTAGGTCACCCAATTCCGTAATACCTGCCTTTCTCAGTAAGATGCTGCCATAGTATTAATGAGGATATTACTAAAAAATTCTTGCCTAAAATAACCACCAATGGACCAAAGTTATATGTTACTTATAAGAAGAATGGAAAGAATTAAGGTGTAGTTTCCTTGTTGTGGTTCAGCGTACAGTTATGCAGGAAGGGAAGTCAGCTAAGATGATAAAGATAAATTTATGAAATCTTTTCTCGTAATAGGTTAGTTTGACTTCTCTTGGAAGAGATTGAGCCATAAACTAGAGTGCGGGTATCCAGGGTATAAAGACCTTGACAGCATTCTTCAGTCTGGCACATTGTCAAAACAAAGTTCGTTGCAGGTGTGTGCAGGTTGCCTTCCAGTTTATCTGGAGCAGTGTCTGTGGTTACCAGCACTGTATTTTTTTAATTTTTTTTTTATTTGTAATAAATCTTTGGACGAAGAGAACAGGCTCTGGGCAAAAAGTACTACAAGGGGATGCAAAAGTATCCAGTTTTTTGAAAGGTGTAATTAAGCAAGGATTGCTAGAGTGTGTGTTAGGTATTTCACAAGTATGAGATGATTCCAAAATTTGGGGGTTTGATGTTTTGGCAAAATGATCCGGACTCCCTCCCTCAGCCGTGGAATTTGTCTCTCTGCTGCATACTGGTACTTCTTTTTTTTTTTTTCTCCCTCTGTCTTGTTGGGATTTGGCCAAAAGACCTCTCTTTGTTCTGCTTTCACATTTTTGTAGCAACACATCCCCTTAGCCTTTTGTAAGCAATAGAAACTGGCAACTGTGTTCCCATCTGTTTCTGTCTGTGGGTTTGAGTGCATGGTTTGTGAAAGCAGTGGTAGCCACAGGTACAGTCAGCGTGCTGAGCCTGGATCTCGGCTGTGCTGGAGATACAGAGTCAGCATTCGTTCAGTTTCTCTTTATAGAGGTATCAGGACTGAAGTTCCTCTGTAGTTTGGCTCCTGCAGAATGTTCATTTTCAAGTGTGCTTCATTCCACCATCAGAGAGAGGCCTGAGCGATTGCATATAGGGCACTGGCCATGAGTGTAAATAAGTTTGCTTTAGTTTGTCAAGTCTGTGCCGTCTCCTGTTCAGAGGTTCCATGGAGCACAGGACTTAAAAGTTTACAGAAATAACTGTTTGTGCTCACCTCTTTCCTTTCTATAAATACACAAAGTGAAGGAGGGAATCTGTGGCCAGTTTAGTGACAAATCGGCTGTGGTCCTGTTACCAGCAGCCAAATGCCATTTCTACTTTTTGATTAAATAGCTTCTGAAAAACTTTCTTCAGTTCTTTTCTTTGGATTGTTTACCAGCCTTTGTGAAATGTTCTTTTCCTTCTTTCTAAAGTCACCTTTCCCCTTCGCTCCCACCGTGAAGTCTGATATCGCCAGTTCACCTAATGGCTGTTCATCTCAGTTGTACCTTTTTTTTTTCCATTAAGTGTTTACCACTTCTTTTGCCATTTTTATAGCAGAGGTGATGTTTGATTGAATAATAGAGGCTGTACGAGCGAAGGGTCTAATCACAGGATCTAATCCGTAACGTATGATACTTTTAAGTCATTGGTAGTAATTGTCTTAATACTGAGGGCATGCGTAAGTGTAGCAGTGCCAACGTTCTCAGAGTACAGGAGTGTACTACCCTTGTGTCTAGTACTGGGAGGGCTCTTGCTGGATCCTTTCGTAGTTTTTCTTGAATTTCAGTGGAAATGCAATCTGAATATTGAGGTATTCTGACGATCAAAGAAAGAGCTGCAAACATACAAGGAGAGATTAGTGATGTATTGCGTGATTTTAACCAGAATAATTATTAGAACAAGTTGCACATAAACGCAGCGGTGTGCCGTCACTTCAGTCCCAGCATATGTCTTCTGGGAAAGCCATTTATAACCTGAACAGTATTTTGCAGAGATACAGAGTACTCTTACGTAGGAGACAATGCCACACTATTGCAAAGATGCCATTACTATAGACTTAAAACATTGAGATTTATTTATTATTTATTTTAATGTTGGGATGTTTTTTCCTGGAATGAGTATCTGCCTGTGCCGTGTTGGCATTTGATAAAATCTGCCACTTTGCAAGGTGAAGGTAGACATTCTCTAGTTGTTTGGCATTAATGTCAGGCTAAAGAAAACAAAATTAATTGTAGCAACTGTGATTTTTTTAATAGGCCTTGAATGATAAAGGAAGCAGTAAAAAGGATGAGTCAGGGGAAGCAACTGATAAGTTGAAGAAGGAAGTTGAACGTTTGAAAGCGGAGCTACAGAAAACATCAGATGGTAAGTATTGGTTAGTACTTTTTTTCAGTTAGGAAAAGATTGCAACACTGAATGTCAAAAATGTGCTCTAGGTATAGCATTGAATAACTTCATCAGTTTACAGAACACTTGGCGTGGGATTTCTTCACTTTTGACTAGGAACTGGAAAATATGCCATTGCCATCCCCGTATTTTACTGAATGTTTTTGTTATGAAAATGTATACCGTGTAATTTGAACACCTGAATTGTTTTGTAATTGTAATTAACAATTTGAGCTGATACCTTTTTTAATCTTGTTTGTCTACAGTGAAACATGCCTTGCATGTTAGCAGCTTCTGTGTTTAAGGTTTAGTTTGTCCAAACTACTTTCTTGGCAACCTAAACTGAGGTAGAAGCAGATTTTACCTGTTAGGTTCTGTCTTACTGGGATCTGTCAAGGTGTGTGATGCTTACAAACACCTGCTCATCTGAAATTAGTATTTTTAAGATAACACAGCCTGTGACCTTGTAAGCATTGATCACATGTTCAGAATGTAACAAAATACAGATATTTATGGTACTGGCTAGCGTGTTGTCATCTAAACATAGCTCTGTTTTCGTTTTGCATGGCACTGCTACTAAGCTGTAGGAATAACAACAAATATTACATGAATCATTTCTCATTTTCCTATGGGAAGATGAACAAGACCTGTAGAACAGCTGTTTTCAGCTGGGCTTGAAGCAACAAGAATCTTTAAATAGAGAGTCTCATTAGTTCACATTCTCAGACAAGTTTGATTGTGGGTTTTCCCTCTCCTGCTGCTTTCTTAAAGAATGGGGGCAAAGCTGCCTTTGAAGTGACAGGATCAATGAAAAGCTTAGAAGTCTATGTTTTATTTAAACTAACTGGTGGTATGTAACACTAATATAATGTAAGCTTTTTTGTCAGGAATGCTAGAGAAAGCTAAGGAGTAAATAGATTTACCACATGCTGCTTCAGCTGCAGTTTCCCTGTGGGCTGTTGTCCATCCAAAAGTTGTATAAATTAAGGCACCCTTGAGTCTTTTGTTAAGAAGGGAGGGTCTTTTTCAGGAATGAATAGGAAAATATTTACAACCCTTCCCCTGATGCCATCCCCCTCATTGCCAGAATGGAAAACCCCAGGATTATGTTAATTACCATCAGCAGCTAGATGATGTTACGGTACATCTGTCTTATTTTTTGTAAGTTTTCTGATACATTATTTTGAGCAAACTGGTGCCAGAGAGCTTGAAGTACTTCATAATATCCACATTTGTAGACACAGCTTTCTATGGCGGTGTCAGAGATTTAATGTGAATTGAATTTACTGTCTTCTTTTGAAACTTCTGCAACTGAGTGGGTGAATGTTGAGTTTCACGCTCACTAAGTGTGAGCAATGCATAACACAAAATCAGAGTTGAGATCAAGAAGCTTGTTTCTCCTCTTTTTAATATCTTGTTTCATGCTTCTGAGCTCACGTGACTGATGCAACCAATCCATGAAATTCAGGGTGTATTTTGGGGGATTGCAAGGAAGGAGGTAAAGAGTAGGACATGCCACCTAACAGTGAAACAAGGCAAAACTAGTATGAAAAGGAGAACTTCACTGGTTTGGGGTTTAGGGGATTTCTTCTTGTTTGTTTTTTAGCTGTTGTATCAGGAGGAGTCATAAATTTGGATTTTGTTCTCGTTTCACTGGGGATTTGGTGGGCTTGTATTCACTGCTTGGATGAAAAAATAAGTATAATCTTTTTCACAGAGCTGTTTCAAGTATTCATTGCTCTGATATAGTACATTTGTTAAGCTACTTTGCTGTAGGTCACAGGTTGAAAGGTGAGTTGACTCAAAGTGGTAACCAGAAGGAGTCCTAAATGTAAGTCCACTTCATGTTTAAATAACATTTTTGTGTCAGATTGGTGCTGTGACTTCAGGGGAGATTCAAATTTTGTGTAAGACTTTGATCCAGTATTTACACTTTTGGCAGAGAAAATTCAGGATGTCTCCTCTTCCCAATAGTGTGAAGACAGTAGTCGTTGCTGACTTTTGGCTTCCTGCCTTTTACAGGCAACAGTCTACCTTTTTATTTTATTTTTTTTTTTTTTCCACTTAACCATAAGTGAAATCCTAAGTTAAGAAGATACTTTGCCACCTACTCTGCTCTGGGCAATCGGGGAGGAGGAGTGAAAATACAGGACAAAGAGACTTGAGTAATGAAATTGCTAAAATCTAAGGAAAAGTTGGAAATAAGTGACACAGATTTCAGCCAAATTTGTTTTCTTTTCCACTTGACTTTTCTATCCCCCTTGATGCCCTTTTTTGCTTTGTTGTGGAAGTGAAGGGAAGGAGGCTAGTTCTTCACTACTTTGTTGCAGACCCACATACTGGGAGTTTTATAGGCACCCAGCAGTGGGGCTAGCGTTCTCAGAGCCTAAATCCTTGTTTAACATACCTGGACATGTAATGACGTGACCGTTTGGACCTTCCAAGATGGTATTTTATTGGTACACTTGTATATTATGAAAAATGTCTCATTGATACCTAGAAATAAATACACATACTCCTAGGAGCGCCCACTGCAGATGTGAGAATGTTTCTCCTGCTGCACATTAGACTTGGGTCTGACAAAACATTGATTCAGATAAGTAAAGGCTCGCAGTGTGGCTGCTGGTCTCAGACCTGTAGGCATTTTCTGGGGAAAAAGATGCTATGATAGTTGTTTCGTTTTGCTAGTTTTGAAAATTATCGAAAAAGCTACAACAAAACAAAGTATCTGCAACTGGACACGAGGTCAGAGTCCAAGAGAAGTTTTGTAAAGCAGCTGTCCTTACAGTGGTCCTTGGCTTGGGGGCAAGAGTGGGACCTTTGGTGCATTAACTTTATTTTCTCGCACACAGATCCCATACTGTGGAAATGCTGATGTGTGAAATGTTCGTTTGTTGTTATGGGACCAATTGAGCAGGAGGGAGACTTCTGCAGTGCTACTTCACCTTCTATCTTGGGTCATTTTTTTTTTGGTGCCATTGTCCCAGTATATGGTAAAGGCTAGAGCTTCAGTTACACAACAGAGATTTATACGGAACAAGTGTTGATCAAGTCTTTCAGCAGAACACACTGGTGACAGACTCCTGTCCAGCTCGTTGACCCCTCATTCTTGTAACAGTATTTCATGGCAAGTGACGTGCACTTCTCCCTGCATCTGACGTAGCATGATGGTCACCATGGTCCTAGCACCTGAGTGCAGTTACTGAGCTGTGACCTTATTGCAGTTTTGAGCCGAGTCTGTAGTGCCACACTGAGATAAAATCTAAAGACCCTTTCTTCGTCTCTGCTGCTAGGACTTCACTTTGAGAAACGCGTACTGACTCACCAAAGTCATCGAGGTGCTTTTGAACTTCAGTTCAACTTTTTCTGAAAATACTCTTTATTTATATGTTATTGTCATCATAGACACACAGTGGGGCAGGAGGAAATTCTGATGGAACTTCTGTGCATCCTTTAATGAGGCTTGTTGTGTGTACAGAATGTGTCACGAGTGCTTTTTGTTTCAAGGTTGCATAGTGATGTAGGAGACAGCAAGAGAGCAACAATTTGTGTGGAGAGGTGGTTTTAAAATAGCTTTTAATTTTTGATTGTTCTAGAAAGTATGCATGTACAGATGAACAACACTTACTTAAATGCTACAATTATTAGAAATTGGAAATCTATGAATAATACAGATGTTGAGAATACTTTTCATAGAACTGTTGCTGCCAGGGAGAGTTCACTTTGGCCTTTGTGTTGCAGGCTAGTGCCCTATGGGAAAACTGTATTTGTGTTCAGCTCCACTGAAGCACTCCAGTTTTAAAAAACAAACAGATAAAAAAAACCCAAAACACCAAAACCCCAATCTATCAGATTTTATTTTTTTTTTTGTAAGCTGGGAATAGGAGATACAAGTTAAAAGAATTAACCATGGTTTGATGTTATTTAGCCATTGGCAGAGGGAGGTTTAGAACAAAGTCTGTCATACTTAACCTTATTTTTAACTGTGAGATCGTAACCTTGGTGGGAGCTAGTACGCTATGTCATGTGCAGCAACAGTTGATGTTCGTATCTGTTGATTTGAAGGGACGGTACTGCATACAGCAGTCCTGGTTTTGTTACATGAGGCCCCTTATGCCATCTGAAGATGCTGTAATGCGCCTTTTGTAACCACTGCCTCTTAAGAAGAGAATTGAGAATAAGTATGGAGTTACTTGACTGGAGCTGTGTTCCCAGCTTTACAGTGTATTTGTTGGCAAATCTCTTGTCCCGTCAGTTCCTTAATTCTCAAATGTGAATAGCTCTTTCTCAGCTTAAAGACTCTTAAGAGATGGATCTTAAACTAGTCCAAATCAGTTCTGGTTTAGACTTGTATTGTGAGCTATGCTAATTTAAGTTCCACATAGTTTCCTTAGTAACAAGCACTGTAAATCAAGTTATTTAGTCAGGCCAGGACTAGGAGTTGTGCATGGAAATGCCCAGTTGGTTGCTTTTGTAGCTGTTTGGTGTTGTTTTAGTATTTGATTCTTCATCCTTGTTGAGAGGAAAATAGAAATGCTACAGCTGCTGGGCTGTGGTAACCTCTTCAAAGCAATTTTATTCCTCATCCTGCTTCGACTTTAAAGGAATCTGAAGTAAACTACCTGGCCTTGAACAGGATACAGAGAATGTGGTAAGGGAAGGACAAGTTCTCTACTTCTTCCAGACAGTACGTGTTGCATTAGTTTATGGACCTCTAGTCATACATTCAGTGTAAAGGGATAAAGTTTTCCATAAACGTCTTCCACTGATACACTGCCATAAGAATATTGTGTTGACTTTCTTTCTTTGAAGGGAAGGGATGAAAAAGCATAGTCCACCTCTCAATACTGAGGCCGATTCCGGTTTTGAGACTTGGTGACCGTTCCTCTCATTAGTTGCATTAACTTAGAAGCAGTGCGCTCTCCTGCTGCCTGCACATGCCTTTACTTGCTGGGAACAATCAGCTGTTGGGCTTTGCTTGCTGCCAGTCCAGCTGTTCTGTGTCCTGTGAGGCAAAGTAACAGGCTAGATGGAAGCCAGAAATAACAACTGACTGTATTGTGCACACAAAGGATCGTCTGTTTTCGGCTGGATCGCTGTTGATATGATACAGTCCATATGGCAGCAATATACCTGTACCATCGACTTGGCTGTGCTGCGGCGAGCGCAATGGCAGCGTAGTTGAGCAGCGATGTGTGGACAGGCTCTCTTGCTTCACTAGAAGACACGCAGAGAATTCGACTTGCTGGGGAATTCATGTCGTCTAAGATCTGGTGATCCTTTCTATTGTGTGGCCCAACAGGGGTGAATCTGGGTTTGGGCCTTGTTTTGTGGGTTTTTCTTGTCCGTAGGCAACACAAGCGGAAAGGACAATCTGTTCTTTGCTTTTGATTCTTCTTCTAGGGTTAGGTGAGGCGTTCCTATCGCACATCTGTTTTGGTCAAAACATTGAAACAATGCAGCGACTTGTTTGCTTTCTTGGGTTGCAGATACTTTTAGATATTTTGGTCATGTTTTAAAGATACAGCAGGTTTTAGGTGCAACTAAAGAACTGTGCAGCTGCTTGTAAATAGTATTAGATCAGTAACAATGAGTTACAACTCCATCAGAAATGAGATATTCTAAATTTTTACTATATGTACAAGAATTTTTAAACAAAGGCAAAATTTAGCTTTCTAATTAGCGAATTCTTGAGGCAAAATGGCATATGCATGTGTTTTTGTCTACAGCTTAAAATTCACAGTTGTATCAATTTGTCACGTTTGGTTTTTTTAGAGGGATTTTCAAATTTTACTGTTGAATATTTTGAACAGTAGTAAGGTCAGAGAGAGTAAATGCAATGGGATTTGACTTGTCGGATATGTAGAAAATGATTTGGGTTTTTTTGTATTGATGTCGTACAAGAATGCATTAATGGATGAAGGATAGCTGTGTAAGAGTGTGGAAATGAAAGAAAGGATGTAAAGAGGTGGGGTCAGGATGTAAAGAGATGGGTCCTGTTACTGGAAAACCACTTGCAGACTTATAAAATGAGAATGATTTTGAACCTATAGATTCAAATAAATTAATTAACAAAAACAGG